GGCCGCTTACGGGGTGGTTCATTACGGTGTGATTTCTGTTTTCCTGCAGGAGCGGCACGGGGCGCCAGCGCATTACCTGCACTACTTGCTCGCGACGAAGCCGGACATCGCATGTGAGAGCGTCGCAGTTGATTGGAGGAGATCCCTATGGCGTTCCGGCTATGGCACCCCTGTCAACGAGATGAATTTCAGAACGACGCTCCGTTACCAGCGCTGTCTACACTTGCGACTCCATCGTCACCGCGGAGTCGACCTGGTTCTGGAGGCGCAGGCTCGGCGCGATCTTTTGGACCATGAACTGCACGACCGTCGCGTCGAATATCCAGACCCCGCGAGCTCTGAAACGCTGTTGCCGCGTTTCCATTGGATCTCGCGCCCCGAGCACCGGGAGCTCCCCTTCGCCCAGTGCGCCTTCACGGCGGCGCAAGTTGAGTTATACCACGTGTCCAGACACATGGCGGAGGCTGACTTTCATCGAGAGGTTCGTAGGCTGGAAGGTGGAACGGGCAGTAAGGCGCAACTGCTCTGGAATCTCATGTTCACGGAGGCTCTCTACAGATCGGACATCGGAGCATTGCAGCGTCGCCTGGTGACGCTGGTGACGGGAGGGCGCCTGCTGTCAGCTGGGGGCCCCAGGCATCCACTCGCGCCAGACCTGCCCGCCGTTGCCAGTTCCCCCTCGGGCGCATGGCCCAGGGATGGCATCGACGAGGGTTTCGAACGGAAGAGATTGATTGGCGTGGCGTGTGTCAAGAGATCCGTTGAGTACGTCTCCGTGCAATTGCTGAGCGTCACCGGGGAGATCGGAGACGAAGATCGGCCCCTGACGCCAGACCCGGGTCAGCTGGGAGTCAGTAAGCGACGGTGGGGCACCCAGGTCCAGGAGTGGCGCAATAGCCTTTCGCGGCTTCTCGATGCAGTGCCAGTGGACGCGACTGTGATGTCGGCGGCACTGGCATTGGGCCTCTGAGTCGAGCCATCGCTACCTGCCGTGCCTGGCGTCGACTTGCTCCTGCAGGATGGCAACTGCATCCTGCTCGCGCACAGCGTTCTTACAGTAGACTTCCCCGAGTGCGTCAATTATTGTCGACGGTTTCCTGTTCGTCGCGGCTCGATGCGTCAGTACACCGATGTCGCCGAGTATTTCGGATTTACGTTCGCCCTTGTGCCCGCGGGAGATGCGCTGCTCGGGAGACGCGGGCCTCCTCCTGGGAAGTACTTTTTTCAATTTCGTGGCCATTGCCGCGCGGTGGCCGTCCTGCCAGACATTGACGCGTCGGTCGTTTGGAGAGGCATCAACATTTCCTGCCGACCGCGCACTGGATGCACTACGCGAAGAACCTCGGGGGCGATATGGTCCTCATCAACGACCCGCTGGGTGCAGCGGGCCACGGGGGAGAAGGAACCCACGCGTGCCTCAGTCGGGCGTTGAATGCGCTGGGGCCCCGCGTACCAACTGCTGTCCACGGCCCATTCCGCGCTCTGGAGCACGGGAATCAATGGTTGGTGGACCAAGGCCTGAAGTTGATCCAGCAACCGCGGGGCCCCACGGGCCCGGGGCGTTACGTCAAGTGGGAGCCGCTCCTGGACGACGAAGGACGACCCAAAAGAGTTGGCCATTTCACGGCGGCTTTGTTGCAGCCAGGCGGCGTCACTGTAATCGATCATGTGCGGGGGCTGCCGGTGGTTCGCGAGTGGCTCACGTGGGGCGACATCCCCGGCGTTGAGCGGCACAAGTGGTTCAAACTAGTGGAGCTCGGTGCCGACGAGCGCAGCTCCGAGCACATCCGCGTTCCCCCCAGGGGAACATGTGCGGACATCATCGAATCACATCGCCTTGACGCGCTCATCCGTCGACGTGATGCGCGCGAACGGGCCAGGGCGCAGGGGCCAGAGTTTCGCGCGCCCGCGCTCGCGCCGCGGCTGGCGGCGCGGGTGGCAGGGAACCGCGACGAGGCCCTGCGGCTCAGGGCACTGCGTTTGTTTCGCCCGATGCCGCCAGTGGGGTGGCCTGGCGTTCAAGTGCCCCAGGAGCCAAGCGATTTTTTCCAGGAGCTTCCGCGCCTCCCGAAGATCCGCTTGCTCGAGCGCCTCAATGCGCATGTCCGGGACGCCCGGCTGCTCTTCGTGGAGGAGTCCCACACGTATTTCATAGATGGCTGGCGAACGCACGGGTCTGTCACGGGCTTGATCCACGAGTACTGCCAGGAACTCGACGCCCAGGCCGTGATCCGCAAGATGCGACGCGGTCGGAATTGGCCTAGGCCAGAATATCTTCGCCACCCTCTTCCGGAAGCTACAGTTTCAAAACTGCGGGCGAGGCCGGTTGCCGCGCCATTGCACGCGTTGCTCGCGCGACGCAGTGCCACTGCATCCGACATATGCGCTGCTGCTCAGGTGGCGGTGCGAGCCACGCCGCACTTGATGGACCTGGTGGGCGGCCTGGCCCTCAGAGAGCAGGAGATCATATAACAATGGCGCTTGGGCGGCGCAGAGGCGGCGAGGCGGGGCACGTGGATGCATTGGACCCTCGAAGCGTACCTCAACCGCGTTCCAGTACCCGATACCTCGGTTGAAGTTCAATTATTTACAACATTCTTGTGTTCGCTCAGGGGTCTGGTGGCTTTCCGAACCGAGTGGACAATCTTCGCAGAACGCGAGGGGTTGGCCACGTCGATCGACTTTGTGGCGCGGGACCTCGCGGGCCGCTTGTTCATCTACGATTGGAAGCGGTCCAAGAACTTACGCTCGAAGTTTACCCACAAGTGGGGGAACATGAAGTACCCGCTGGAACATTTGCCAGGCTGCCAAGGGCAGCATTATCGGGTACAGCTCAACATTTACAAATGGGTTCTGGAACGTTACTACGGCGTCCAAGTGGCCTCGATGTCGGTGGTCTGCCTGCACCCAGACAATGGCGACCATCCGTTCGTTGACGACGTGCCCGACATCCCAGAGATCGAGCACCTGATGGCCATTCAGCGTGTCAGATCGAGAGAATTGCGGGCCATGGCGTTGGAGGATACCCGCGAAGTCGACCCCCTGGGTGGCAGTTTGAAGCCGGTCGCAGGAGCGAGCGCCTCGCATCTCGGGGATGCGATCGCTGCCCGCGGCGACAGAGCAGTTCTCGATGCCGACCCGTGGGGTGGCATGGACGACGGGGAGCTCGACTTCGATGCGTATACTATGGGACTCGGAGAGAACGAGCCGGGCGCAGCTGAGCAAGGCGCTGCGTTTTCGTCCCCGCCCCGCCTGGGACCCGATGCTGGCGCGCGGGGCGACGCCGCGGCGCCCGCCGCGTTGCCGCCAGCGCGGCGCGGCCGCGCGCGCCAGATGGAGGACGGCGGGGGCGGGGGGCGCGGGGCGCGTTCAGATCCAGGAGCAGAGGGGGCCGCAGGACGGGAGGCGCGGCCAGGCGCCGAGGAAGATGCTCCGGGCGTCTCCTCATTCAAGAGACGCCGTCCGATGAGCGGCGCCCAGACGTCGAAGCAGGATTTCGAGAACTTGTTCTGGAAGCGCAAGAAGAAGTCCGAGGACGGTCTGCGAGGAGTCGCCCAGGACACCAGCGGCCGCGACAGCACCCTCATCGAGAAAACCAAGATGATGAGGAAGTCGGTCGAGAAGAAATTCCCATCTTGGAAAGAAGAGAAGCACGAGGACATGTTTCGCCTGGCGTGCGGGGTTCTCGCAACCTACCGCTTGCGTCTGATTGACCTTTTCATCCGCGAGTACGTGTTCTTGCTGTGGATAATCCAGGGCGACCTCCACATGACCGCCCACGATGGGAACTGTTGGTTCTACCAGAGCAGCAGCGGCGCAATGCGGCTGTACGAGGGGCTGCCGCCCGAGTCAGCATTCGGACGCGTGAAAGATTACCTGCTGAAGCTAGAAGGAATTTTCAGGTTGATGCCCGCGGACACCAGGCGGGAGGACAATTGCCTCTTGGATGCCTTCGGCGTACTCGCAGGTGAGGACCCCGCAACGTTCTGTAATCGATGCAGGGACGCTGCCATCTTTTCGAAATGGTCTGGAGCGAACAGGAGGCGCCCGGCGCCCGAGGACGGGGGCGGGGGAGGGGTAGTAGCAGAGGCCCCCGCGGCGGGGGCAGAGGATGCACCGAACAAAACTTGGAATATCCATACGGCGGAAGCTATCAGCAATACCTGCATTCAGTTGCAGAGGTCACTGTTGGAGGGCAAACTCATACCATATTTCGTTGAATGGTGTGAAACCCCAGACCCTCGAAATGACCCTCATTATGTGCCCGGGTGCAGCTACAACGACATCAGCGTTCTTTACGAGAAGACCAGCGGTGGAGAGATTTTCTCAAGGGTGAACAAATCCCCGCGGAACAAAATATATCTGTCCATACCGCACCCGCCGATGGATCCGGTCGAGGGGGCAATGTGGGATGAGGTTGCAACTTTCTATTCTCAGTCATTCTGGAGCAATTTGAATGTTTTCGAATGTTTTCAAGCCGCTCAGGCCCTGGCGAAGAGAGGGCTAAATGTTGACCGCTGCTTCTTCGGCCGCAGCCCGGGCGGGGTCGGGCAATCTCTGCACAGCGCACACTTGAACGCCATGTACGCCCACAACCACAAGTATTTCGACCCGAACATCTGGTGCGACGACGCCGAGCTGCGCAAGCAGATCGAGCAGCACGCCGGATGCATCATCATGACTGGCCAGGAATCGCCCGAGACCGCTAGGCGGATGCGGGGCGACCTGTTCAAGAAGCCGTTTCTGGAGACGGCGTGGCAGGCAGGAGGCCGTACGGCGTGATCACCAGGCTGGAGCGGCGAGCAGAAGGGGCGAGGTCGGGAGGTCAGTGGACAGGGGGGAGCACCGTGCACTTAGAGGCCCGGGGCTGCGGGCGGTGGAGTGGGCAGGCGGGTGGGCGGGGATTCGTTGATGAACATAAACTCAAATGACTTTCCGACTTGGCTGCTCCTGCTCGCCGTTCGAGAATATTGGAATTGATTGGGTGGACCAGATTTGAAATGAACAAACTTCTGCAATTTTCTGGCGTCACGGAGAAGTCGTTCTGGGCCATCCTTCGCAGATCATTAGGGTGGGAGGCGAAGGCTCGCTTTTTCGACGCGGAGTTCCTGAGGGACCATTACCCTGACCACGAGCTCGACGGCGTGTTTGCCAGGAAGCCGCACTTGAAAAAGTTGCTCGTCAGCTCGCCTGCCGTTGGCGTGGTACTGAAAATCCAAGACGGTTTTGAGCGCGAGAACAACTGGGAGTGTTGCGGGCAGATCATCGAGGAGTACGCCGCCCTTGGCGGCGACGGCGGCCTGACCGAAGCCACGATGAGAGAGGCTTGCGGTCTGAAGCCGCGCCCCCAAGGCGAGAGCGACAAATTGCTCGGCTTGCGCTCCGTGATGGGCCAGGGCGTAGAGGCGCCAGCAAAGGCGAAGGAGTTGGAGAAGGCCGTCGAGGAGCTACTGCCCGCAATCATCGAAGAGTGCACCCTGAAGAGAAAGGACAGCTTGAACTTCACCGCCTTCAAGAAGATCAAGCTACCAGCGGTGCCAGGGCTCGAAGGTCATAGCAGGGAGGGCTTGTGGAACCTCTTGCGCAAGTCCGGCGTTGTGTTCGCGGTAAAGGCGTGGCCTTCTGGCGAGGGCGTGACGCCGCGTCTTCCGATCTCAAAACCGTTTGCAGATGTCTGCGACAGGGCCCCATCGGGATCGGAGATGTCGTTCCCCGAGCGCTACGACATGGCCACGTTTCGCGAGTACGTCGACGGAGCAGAGCACAGGAAGCACAACGTCGGCATTTTGCGCGAGCACCTCCATCTCTCGCTCCCGCGGCACCACGGAGCCATGAGCAAGAGCGCCAAACAGGAGAAAGATGAGGCGCTGAAGAGAACGCGGCGTCTCGATGCGCATGAACAAACGTGCGGCGCCATTCTCAACAGATTCCAGGACCTCGAGGAGGGCGGCGTCGCGCGGCGCAGCGTGGCGTACCGCAACATCCTCGCCGATTTCCGGAGCCGCCGCGTGGCGACCGAAGTGGCGGCTCAGTCGTGCTCCAGGAGGGCTCCGCAGCAATTGGTGCCCAGCGTCCCGGACTTCGACATATCGAATTGCATGTTGTCATTGACGAAGCAGTTGCTGGAGAAGCTTGGCCTGATCAGCTCGCTGCCCGCCCGCTTGAGAGAGTTGCTCGCGAAGTGCGCCGATCAGCGAGACACGGTGTGCACGGTCGATCTGGGGGTCACCAGGGAGCAGGGCAAGCGGCTGCTCTCGGAGCTGATCAGTGGATCCGCCGCGCCGGAGGAGCGCAAGGCAGACCCCGTTGTGCAGGAGGTGCAAGACTTGTCGAGGTACCTGCGTTGGTTGGCGTGCTCGTTGCTACCCGACGTGTACGACCAGATGAGAAACGATCAGTCGAAATCGTATCCTGAGGCGTCCACCTCATTCTACATGTGGTCGGCCGTCGAAGACTTGGTACTCTCGCGTTGGCTCGACTTCGTTTTGCGAGGCTCTCGGTCGCACGTTTCCTTGCACTACCACGGCATTCGGATCCGGAACCCAGCGGGCGACGTCGACGTGGAGGAGTTCTGCGCGCAGAGCTGTGCGCACATTGCAGCGCAAACAGGGCTCAAGGTGCATATCCGGCAGAAGATCCACAAGACTTTCTTCGCTCTGGTGCAGGGGAGCGGAAGTCGTCTTGAAGATTGCAGTTCTGACGACGGCAACGACGAGGTTCTGCTGGCGGACGGCAACTGCATTCTCCTGGCTTGTGCGCGTCTGAGCCCCGACCTGCGGGCCCCCGCATCGGAGGCGGCGCGCAGTGGCGCCGGAGGTTCTCGCGGAGTCCCCTGTCGCGAGTACGCAGCCGTGCGCGATTCGCTGGGGATTTCCTTTGCTCCTTGCATGGGGGCGCATATGTCGGAACCTGGTAAGTACATCATCCACGCGGAAGACAATGGGAAGCCGCATTGCGTTCCTTTTCATGTTTCGTCTTTGAATGAAGATTGCACCTTCTGGATGGGGCCCGCCAGATACTCCATCTCGCTGACATCCTTGAGGGAGCGCATCGCCTCTGCCACAGATGAGAGCACTCTCGTTACTTTCGGTTTCGACAGGGACCACTCGGCGCCACACGATGCGCCCCAGGGCTCAGATAAGGAAGCCTCCGAAAAGTTGCTGGAGCTGCGGGCTGGGGCCGGTGGCGAACCAGTCTCGACTGACAGCGTCCCGCTTGGCGACTTCCTTGCCGCCGCGAAGAAGGAGGTGTCCGTTTACTTGGGCGGCCTGAGTGGATGCAGCAGAAGAGGGTATGGCAAGAGTATGTTCATGCACGCGTGCAAGCTGTGCCCGAAACGATACTTCGCCTGGAAGAACAGGCTGGTCGAGCACGTGAGAAAGCACCACCAGAAGCGGACGTCTTTCGCCCCATACAAGTGCAACAAAATGTTCCGCATTGCGAAGGCCATCTATGACAGTGACCAGATGCGCGGCGTTTCTGGCGATAAATACTTGCAGAGGGCAGCGGCTCTGGTGCGCAGGCAGGCGAGCAAGGGGCTGTCCAAGAGGGCCCACGCGCACCTGGACGAGCACATGGTGCTCGTGTTGGAAGAAGGCGGGCCGAGGTACTACCCGCAATCGGAGCATTGCCGGACGTTCGTTCGCCGCGTCGGCGACTGCTACTCGACGCGGGAGTTATACAATCAGCTTTATAGAGATGCATTGTTGTCCGATGGCCGCGTCGAGCGCGTCATGAATGCTGCTTTCCAGCGGTCAGAGCTGGAAGGGAATGCGATTACTTCGCTGATGACAAGTCAACAGACTACGTGGCATAATATGATGGCCGATGTGTTCCGAGCTCCACAGGCGCGAGAGCACCTCACTGGCCTGCTGGAGGAGTGCGAGGATAACGGCGAGTTCAAGTGGGTGTCCATCGACGGCACGTCTAAGCTGGCATTTACTCTGGTTGGGCAAGCTTCCTACAGGGCGCCGCGGTGGGTTCGAGAAGATCAGGCCATTCCCATTGTTGATCAACTTCATACAGCTTTGACGATGCGGGGCCGGGCGGGCGCCGTGCTGTTGGCGACGCCTATTCAGACTGAGAAGACCGAAAACGCATGCAGTGCTCTTTCAGTGGCATTCTCGGCATCGCAGCTGGCACAAGTCCAGTACCTTGTCACGGACGATCCGTCGGCGAAGCTGCTCGATGGGCTTCGAGATGTCTGTGGCAACCTCAAGGCAATCGCCCTGGACTGTTGCCATCTGGCCATGGTCTACGAGCAGGCCAACTGGGAAAAGAGGAGTCAAGGGAGCATTGACATTCGCAAAATCGCTGCGAAGCTGGAGGCCAAGTACGGCGCTGGACCTCGCGGGGAATTCTTCGACGGCACGAACGCCGCCGCGTCCGCGCGGGGCGAGAAGATTGCCCGCGGTGACATCGGGCGCAAAAGACTCACTGTCGGGAAAGCAAAGCGGATCCTGGACGACATCGACGTGAGCAAACCCTTCCAGACTCGCACCGAGGTCGTGCGATGCATAGAGGCCGTTGCCCGCGTGCGCCACAGGGAGATGAAGAAGACGCTGCCTTCAGGCAAGACGAGGTTGCAGATGCTCAGGTGCGCAGCTCAACCAGAGAGGCTGGAGTGGATGCTGAATGCGGCTCGGATTCGTTCCAGGATGACGCGGGAAGAGCGCGTCCTATTGCCCGCAGGTTTCTGGGGGCCGTTGGAAGCATTGTTGTTTGTTCTGCAAAACCGGGCACCGTCGAGATGCGAAGTAGGGTTCGTCAACTTTGCATAGCGACGCTAGCTTCGAAACCACGATCAGAAAACAACGATGCTTTCAACGGCGTCCAAGCCACAGGCACCACATCGAACGAGTCTTTCCACATGGAGCTCAAGCGGAGCTTTTTCGGCCAGAGCATGCACCCATGCATGCTTGCCCTAAAGCTCGCCGTCATTCGCGCCGCCAAGCTGATGACGCATAATTCGGCTCTGTACCGCCAGATGCTGGCGCAGATTCCGCAGAGCCGCCTGCTTCGTCGCTTGGCGGGGGCGACGGAGCTATTCGGCCTGGCGAGCTGGGAGCGATGGTGCGCCCTTCTCTGCGCCGACGGCGCCGTGCAGAAGGCGCCCTCTCCTTTTGCCGCCGAGAGGAAAGCGCTTCAGGCGCGGGCGTCTAAGTGGCGCGCAGCGAAAGGCGCTGCTGGGCGCCGCCGCGGCAGAGGTAGCCGGAAGCGCACTGTGTTTTCTCTCCAGAAGCGCCCCGCCGCTAGCAAGTAGGACTTGTAGATTTCCACCGGCAAAGGACAAATGGCTCCTCTAAGAGATGCCATGATAGACACGCGCTGGGCCAAGAACGAAAAGAGAGAACACATCGGCGGTTGACGGGAGCAGAGTGGAGATCGGAGCGACATTGGTGGAGTTGGTGGAGCTGGTTAAGCTGGTGGAGTTGGTGGAGTTGGTGGAGTTGGTGGACTTGGTGGAGCTGGTGGAGCTGGTGGAGTTGGTGGAGTTGGTGGAGTTGTTTGAGTCTCACAAATCCACCAATTCCACCAACTCCACCAACTCCAGGAGCTGGTGGAGTTGGTGGAGTTGGTGGACTTGGTGGAGCTGGTGGGGCTGGTGGACTTGGTGGAGCTGGTGGAGTTGGTGGAGTCTCACAGCTCCACCAACTCCACCTCACCAACTCCACCAACTCCACCAACCCCGGAGCTGGTGGAGTTGGTGGAGTTGGTGGTGGACTTGGTGGAGCTGGTGGAGTTGGTGGAATTGGTGGAGTTGGTGGAGCTGGTTGAATTGGTGGAGTTGGTGGAGCTGGTGGAGCTGGTGGAATTGGTGGAGTTGGTGGAGTTGGTGGAGTTGAAGGAGTTGGTGGAGTTGGTGGAGTTGGTGGAGTTGGTGGAGTTGGTGGGGTTGGTGGAGTTGGTGGAGCTGGTGGAGTTGGTGGAGTTGGTGGAGTTGGTGGGGTTGGTGGAGCTGGTGGAGTTCGTGGACTTGGTGGAGCTGGTGGAGCTGGTGGACTTGGTGGAGCTGGTGGAGTTGGTGGAGTTGGTGGACTTGGTGGACTTGGTGGAGCTGGTGGAGCTGGTGAAATTGGTGGAGTTGGTGGAGCTGGAAGAGTTGGTGGATTTGATGGAGCTGGTGGAGCTGGTGGAATTGGTGGAGATGGTGGAGTTGGTGGAGTTGGTGCAGTTGGTGGAGTTGGTGGAGTTGGTGGAGCTGGTGGAGTTGGTGGAGTTGGTGGAGTTGGTGGAGTTGGTGGAGTTGGTGGAGTTGGTGGACTTGGTGGAGTTGGTGGGGTTGGTGGAGTGGGTGGAGCTGCTGGAGTTGGTGGAGTTGGTGGTGAGACTCCACCAACGCCACCAACTCCACCAACTCCACCAACTCCACCAACTCCACCAGCTCCACCAACTCCTCTAACTCCACCAACTCCACCAACTCCAGGAGCTGGTGGAGTTGGTGAAGTCTTTTCCCACCAACTCACCAACTCCACAACTCCACCAACTCCACCACCACCAGCTCCACCAGCTCCACCAAGTCCACCAACTCCACCAAGTCCACCAGCTCCACCAGCTCCACCAACTCCACCAACTCCACCAACTCCACCAATTCCACTAGCTCCACCAGCTCTGCCAACTCCACCAACTCCACCAACTCCACCAAGTCCACCAAGTCCACCAACCCCACCAACCCCAACAGCTCCACCACCTCCACCAACTCCACCAACTCCAGGAGTGGAGCTGGTGGAGCTGGTGGAATTGGTGGAGATGGTGGAGTTGGTGGAGTTGGTGGTTGGTGGAGTTGGTGGAGTTGGTGGAGTGGTGGAGTTGGTGGAGTTGGTGGGTTGGTGGAGTTGGTGGAGTTGGTGGGGTTGGTGGTGAGACTCCACCAACGCCACCAACTTCACCAACTCCACCAACTCCACCAACCCCACCAACGCCACCAGCTCCACCCACTCCACCAACTCCACCAACTCCACCAGCTCCACCAACTCCTCTAACTCCACCAACTCCAGGAGCTGGTGGAGTTGGTGGAGTTGCTGAAGTCCTTTCCCACCAACTCCAACAACTACACCAACCCCACCAACTCCACCAATTCCACCAGCTCCACCAGCTCCACCAACTCCACCAAGTCCACCAAGTCCACCTACTCCAACTCCACCAATTCCACCAGCTCCACCAAGTCCACCAACTCCACCAACTCCACCAACTCCACAAATTCCACCAGCTCCACCAGCTCCACAAGCTCCACCAACTCCACCAACTCCACCAAGTCCACCAAGTCCACCAAGTCCACCAAGTCCACCAACCCCACCAACTCCAACAGCTCCACCAACTCCACCAACTCCACCAACTCCAGGAGCTGGTGGAGTTGGTGGAGGTGGTGGAGCTGGTGGAGCTGGTGGAGCTGGTGGAGTTGGTGGAGTTGGTGGAGTTGGTGGAGTTGGTGGAGTTGGTGGAGTTGGTGGAGTTGGTGAAGCTGGTGGACTTGGTGGAGTTGGTGGAGTTGGTGGATTTGGTGGAGTTGGTGGAGTTGGTGGAGTGGGTTGAGTTTGTTGGCCCTGCGCGAACTCGACCACTTCCACCAACACACGAAGCCCATAAAGCAAGCGAAACCAACGCTATAGGTGAAACTTAACCCTCTCACATATATATATATATATATATATATATAGATGCAAGCTTCTGGCATACAGAGAACAAACATACCTCGCGCCGAGACCCGATTTTGAACACGAGCCCCCTTTTCCATCCTCGTAGCATTAGGTCGGGCGTGCCCGCTGACTTCGGACGAACAATGGAACTTCAAAACCAAATTCAAGCATAGTGGCAACTTACTCCGACGGAGAGACCCCACATGAAAATCTGTTTAGCTTGCCCTGACCCATTTTTTCCTTGCCCTGACGGACACTCTCCTCTCGCCCACCGTTCTGCCCTCACCTACCCCCCCTCCTTTTAATTGTCCTTCTCCTCCTCCTCTTCCTTCTCCAATCCCTCCTCATCATCGCCCCCCCCGTGCCCCTTCCCCGTCCTCGCCCTTCCCCTGCTTCTTCTCCGCGCGCTCCTCCACTTCCCCCATGGCCGGGGCAAGAACATCGACTTTCCTCGGCGCCGTCGCCGCCGCGGCCAAAGCGCGCATTCCCCGACGGCTGGTTCGCGAAACCTTCGGGGCAAACCCGCGGGCCGCTGGGGCGCGGGGGCAGGCGGTCGGGACTGCCCCGCGGGCCAAGCCGCTGGGACAACCCCGCGGGCTTCGAGCGGGGCGCAGCCGCGCTCAGGTGGGGGGCAGCATGAACCCAAGCTCTGCGGCGAGCTGCTCGGCCTCATCCCTGGGCGTATCCGCTCTCTTGTCCAACTCCAGGAGCGCCTTCCGCAAGGAAGCCGGCGGCCCGCGCCCCAGAAACTCGCGCGAGGGCGGCCGCAGGATCAGCACGCTCCACATGCGGGAGAGCATGGCGTAGAGGTGCAGCCGCCACTGGTCGCCCGACATGCCCGCGCGGCCAGCTTCGCCCCTCGCGCAGTCGACGATGACGCCCTCGCGGAGCGTCTGGCCCTGCGACAGCGTGGAGGCGAGGCGGGGCGCGCGAGTCAGAGTGAACCCCGAGCGGCGCACGGCGCGCGACCCCGAGCTTGGCCACGTGAGCTCCTGCTCGCTGGGCCTGAACATCAGCAAGCTCCGAGCCCGCGCCTCGGCCTGGCCGTCGTCGTCGGCGTCTTCGGCGCCCTGTCGCAGCACCTCAGCAACCTCCTGGTAGATCGGGGACCCCTTGAAGCCGTGCACCTGCAGCCAGACCCCCTGCGGTAGGAAGCGGGGGCGAAAGAGCTGGCCTGCTGGGTGCCCCGCGCACCGCTGCTCGTCCTCGCGGTGGAACTCGAAGGACACGACGCTGGCCCGTTGCTCCTGCGCCAGCCCGAACTTCTCCTTCCGCTCCTCTTGCGCGGCCGTGGCCCGAACCTCCATGCCGACGTGTGACGGTAAGGCGCCGTGGATGTTCCCCGTCTTGTGCATGGTCGGGACGTTCAGGAAGCGCCGACCCGCGTCGGGCTCGCCCTGAATCGCGCCGCACTCGTCCACGGCCTGCAAGAAAACGAGGGGCACGCCCAGGCGCCGCGCGTCGCGAAGAGCGCGCGCGTTGATCCATCTCGCCAGCGTCTCCCAGTAGATGCCCATGCCGTAGCCGAACCGAAAGTTCTCGTGCTGGCGCCGAGGGCCCAGGTCGCCGCGGTTGTCCGACGCCAACGTCTTCTCCCAGGCGGACCAAACATCTGGTGGGAAGGGCTTGCCCTCGCGCGTGCAGCCCAGGAACGTGATCAGAAAGTCCCCGGGCTCGAAGCGCTTCGCGCCCCTCAGCTCGAACACGTGGGGGATCTGAGAGAAGACCTTGATGGCGTGCTGAATATCCACCGTCGGCGGCTCCGCGTACTTGTACGCATCGTCTTCCAAGCGCTCGTTCACGTCCGTCAGGAGGCCGATGCTGCCGGTGGGCTTCAGCTGCAAGAAATCGCCGAGGTGCAGCACGATGGGGACGCGCCCGAAGTGGTGGTGCGGCCGCTTGGAGGCCAAGCGCGTTGTACAAAACTGCCGCCACCATGCTCACCTCCTCGATGACCAGAACGCGGACGTGCTCCCACAGCCATGTCAACCTCTTCTGCATGCCCCCCGGTCTCATCTTCGCGTTGATGTACTTCTGGACTCGCAGGGCACAGGCGTTGACCAGCGCTCTGGCCTTCACGGACTTCGTGGAGATGTTCTTCGCCTGCGCGTTCGGGAAGGCCACGACCAGGGAAGTGCGGGACCCATAGTGAAGGGGCTCCCGCCTGAGACTTCCACAGAATTCACTCACAGGCGAGGCTCCCGCTTATCATTTTCCCCAGAATCAGGCCTGAGGAGCCCAAATGTGACGACAAGTACACGTTTCGGATGATCCGCTCGGATTGCCAACATGAAATCCGGGACCCATAGGAAGGGGGCACCCGCCTGAGACTTCCTTACACTTCACTCACAAACGACCTTCCCGCTGGATACTTCTCCCAAATTCAAGCCTGAGGAACCCAAAAATGACGACAGTTACACGTTTCGGGTGACCCGCTCGGATTACCAACATGAAGTGCGTGACCCATAGGGAGAAGGCTCCCACCTGAGACTCCTTCGCAATTCACTCACAGACATGGCTCCCGCCTAAACCTTTTCCCACACTCAAGCCTGAAGAAAACAAGAGTGACGACAGTTACATAAATCCGATGACCCGCCCGGATTACCAACATGATCCGCAGGCCCCATAGGGGGCCTGAGACTTCCTCGCAGTTCACTCGCGCACGAGGCTCCCGCTTGATACTTCCCCCAAATTCAGGCCTGAGGAGCCCCAAAGTGACGACGGTTACACGTTTCGGATGACCCGCTCGGATTACCAACATGAGGGAGGGGGTCTCCCGCCTGAGACTCCCGCGGAATGCACTCACAGACGAAGCTCCCGCTTGAGACTTCATCCATCTTCAAGCTAGGGGGTGAATGATGGCCAAGTGATAAGTGAGTGCGTGGTGATGATGAGTGAGTGAGTGAGTGAGTGAGTGAGTGTGTGAGTGAGTGAGTGAGTGAGGTTGGCGAGTGAGTGAGTGAGTGAGTGAGTGATGATGATGATGATGACGATGATGATGATGATGATGATGATGTGTGAGTGAATGAATGAATGAATGAGTGATCGAGTGATGATGATGGTTACGATGATGAGGATGATGATGATGATGATGAGTGGTGATGCTGATTCATGATGGTGATGGTGATGCTGATGAATGTGTGAGTGTTCGAGTGTGTGAATAAAGCGAGGGAGGGTGAGATCCCGCGCGGCGTGTGCAGAGAAAACAAGAGCCCCACTCGGGATGTGGGGGATAGTAATTAAAAGAATCGTCCCCATATTGTTTTCTCGGCCATGCTTGAATGTCCCTCCTGCAGAAGGACGGGCCCGACTTCATTGCAGCAGCGGCAATCTTCCAGGACGAATGAGCGCGGCGCCAGGGCGAGAGCCCCTGTTGAAACCATACCGACCTCCATTCTTGCACGTCGGGTTCGTGTCGTGCTGACTTCGGCCTTGGCTTCAAACAAAGCGGGGACCGTTCAACCTTGAACGGTCGGCCGTGTCCGAAACGGACAACTCGTTCCACATCCAACGCTTCTGGGTCGCCCGCGGCGTCCAAAGCTGAACGCCGCTGGTGGGGTCGCCACCGCTCGACACGACACGAACCTACCGTAGCTGTGGCAAGCGTTCAAGGCGAATGCTTTCAGCGGTAAGGCCACAGCCCCGAATTAAAAACGCCCGCTCTCCAGGGCTGTTCACCCCGGTAGCTGGTGCAAACCTTTAAGACGAATGCGCGCGGATCTGAAGCGTGAACCCAATTTCAAAAGAGCCCATCTTCAAGAATGTGCACGCCGCTGAGGCGACAGCCGTACTCTGAAAAAGATCCCCCTCCCTCCAAATAGCTTAAGGATCACACGCGGTGAAGGTGAGAAGGGGGGGGGGAATCGGACCGACCGCCCGCCACCGACCACACCCTGCGGACCAGCGCCCGGGCCTCGCGGAAGCCAGGCGGGTGGGGCCACATGGCCTGTGGAGGATGCCACTGGTGTTTGCCGCGCGAGACTTGGCGCGGAGGCGGAGGAAGCGGAGCATGGGTTACGTTGCTCTCATCGTACTCAAGGACCACATCACAGAAACAGTTTCGAGCACCAGGAACAGTGTCGAGAGAGTGCCGAAAGAGTGTCCGAACAGTGTCGGACGAGTGCCTCCCAGGGCCCGACGCGTGAACCCCCTCGAGTTTCGGTGCTTGCTTCTGGCGCTCGTAATTCTTTCTGGTGGTCGAAGCTAAAGTAGGTCGGAGCATCATGAAGCCTGGGCTGAGCACGATCGCACGAGCAGGTCGGTGCCCCGAACTGGGTAGTCGAAGCCAATCTGGCGCCAATCTGGCAGGCCCAATCTGGCAAACGGGGGCAATCTGGCGAGGGGGCCAACGCGAATCCAGTCTGGCCAGATTGGCCCTTGGGGCCCAATCCAATCTGACAGTCTGGCCTTCGACTACCCAGCCGAAGAGCACTTCGCCCCCAGCGACGCGCCTGGGACTGGACGGCCACTCGCCCGCGGCACCCGCCGCGGCACCCGCCCGTCCAGCAAGGGGCGGCGGCGCCTCGACCATGAAGGGGCCCCAGGGCACACAAATGAATACACACAGAAATCCCAGGATTCCCCAATTGTTTTTTTGCATATCTTTGTTATTTTTGTCAACCCCTCCACTTCCCATAGTTTCCCATATTTTCCTGGGAATTGACGAGTAATTGTGTATGTGTGATTTTTCTCCTCCTGAGGCCAGTGTTTCCCTCGGGTGGGGCCACAGCCCCCACCCCCCCCGGACCCTGGCAAGACTCTGGGCACCACTGGCCGCGCAGGCTCCTCCTGCGCCGGGAGCTTGCAGTAAAGAAAGCTGCGGTCGGAAGCCTTGCTCTCAGAAGCTTTTGCGGGGCACAGCCTTCGTCGATCCTGTGAGCCCTGAGGTGCCCCAAAACTTATGTGGGTCCCTGGGGCAATCGGGGGATAAGGAAGTCCGATGGAGTATCTGACTTGCAGCCGGGTTCGTTCTTGATGTATGCTCCGACTGCCGCCCGGCTTAGAAAACCGCCCGGACTTTTAAAGACACCTTGTCAGAAGCCTCCGGGGCCTTCAAGGGGGGACCTTTGCCTTCTTAGACGCCCCTCCGCCCTCTTGCACGGCAGCCCAAGCAACAGATCGGAGTGCAGCCGCAGTGGTTTTCTTCTCGTAGCATTTGCGGCGCCAGTACCGGCCGACATTCACGAGCTGATGGGGCGAGGAGGACACGAAGCGCAACAATCATCTTTCTGGGGCGTGCCAGCCCCGACCGAGCAGGGTCGGCGATCATGGCGTCCAAATCAGCTCTGGTTCTGACCGCTCTCCACAAGAATAGAAGAGCAATCACGTCGACCATGCCCGCATACAGCGGGGGCCCGACAGCAAGAGACCATCCACAAGAAACCCGACCCTGAGACCCTAGAACGTCCATTGATTTTAGGTGTGGGAACGTCACGCTTCCCATGCAAAACAAACAGCAAAACCTAAGAAACCCAGGCCACCCTGGAGGCAAGCAGGGTGTTTCTTGGCATGGGACTCCACTGCATGCAGCGCCCACTGGCTGGCGCACCCCGCCCCGAATGGGCCGCCGCAGGTGGGGCAGTGGGTCGGCGACGGCGGCTAGGCCTCCACCAGCCTAATGCTGCGCGGCCTGCTGCCGAAGGCTGGGCCCAACGTTAGCGTTCAGCTCGTCGAGGAACTCGGTGCAGTCGGGACGGGCGCCGTCACTCCAACGCCACTCTTCGCCCGGGGGCCTGGCGAGGACACAAGCACAGGGCACTCCCACTCAGCTTGCAGGAGGGCGGCGATCACGGCCGAGACTGCTGCTTTCACTTGCCCACTTCACTCTGAGAAGGAGGATCGGAGGATGATGAAGAGGGGGAGGAGGAGGAGGAGGAGGAGGAGGAGGAGGAGGAGGAGGAGGAGGAGGAGGAGGAGGAGGAGGAGGAGCAAACGTCCCCTTGCGGACGCTTTGTCTCCTCGCAGCTAAGCAGCCTCGCCCGAAGAGGCTCGAGCGCAGCCTCGGGGCACCACGGACGGCGCGCACAGCGGCGGCGTGGGACCCATAGGGCACGAGGTCGTGGTGCTTGAGGCGGTGGTATGTTAGGACGAGGGAGAGGAGGTGGAGGAGGAAGAAGTCCCCTCCAGCTCAATGCCTCATGCTCGCCCAGCGCAAACGCGAGGAGGAAGAGGAGGACGAGGACGAGGACGAAAACGAGGAGTGGGAGGGAAATAGTGAGGGGGAAGGACTCCTGGCCCTGGCGGCCCCTGCCCCCCCGCCGGGCCACCCGGGCACCTGCCACGGACGAATGACCCTCTCCACGACGGGCGGGCCGGCGTCGAGGTCCTCGCTGGCCTCGCCCAGAGGATCGAATGGCCAAAGGCTGTCGGCGAGCCGGAGGGGGGAAGCGAGCCGAGGGAAGAGCGGCTGACCAGAAGAAGGCGAAGACCCGAGGGCGGCTGAGGCTCAGGCTGCAGCCTCGTCAGATTCGCACGCCGGGTCAGCGGAGGCCGCTTCCGGAGCGGCATGGCCAGACAGCGCCCGCCAGGGAGCTTTTGTTAGGTCGGGCATGCCCCCTACAGGCGGACTTTGAACAACGTGCAGGCACGCGTGGAAGCGTCGCTGGTAGCACTTCAGAAGCGCTTCAGGAGAGCCCCCCAAGGCTCTTCAGATCACCAGGAAAGCTTTCTGGTGTGAGTGCCTGTTTTCCAAGAGAGCTTTCTGAGAAATGAAATAATAAGCAAAAACGAAGAAAACGTCCCCTGAGGATTGTTTGACCATTTTGGAATCTTCCTCCTGTCGAGGGACACGCCCGCCTCGAGGCTTGCGCTGCCAGACTTCTGGGCGCGCGCGCCGCCCTGGCGGGGCTAGCGCGCACATGCTATGTAGGTCGGCGGCGAGACTGGGGGGGGGGGATCGGAAGTCTGCGGGCCCTACGGGGGGAGGAGGAGGAGGAGGAGGAGGAGGAGGAGGAGGAGGAGGAGGAGGAGGAGGAGGAGGAGTCCCACCCGTTGGGGGCCGCGCCCTTGCTCCTCGGCTACTAGCGGAGAAGCCCCTGCAGATGAGGGGACCTCCGAATGATGACTTTGAGACGTGCCTTGACCGTCTGGCGAGAGAGAGCAGCTGATGGGACAGAGCGAGTGCGCAGAGCCTAAAAAGAACAGTGGAGGCGATCAATGGCTACAAGACAGGATGGGAGAGCCGTATCATTCGCAGGAGGGAGGAGATGGGGGAGGAAGACATTTAACGGAACTTGACCCCAATCAGGTGGAAGAGCAGGCAGTAGATGCACAAGAAGAGGTTGAACGATGGGGCAAGCCACATAGTGAAGTAGATCATCTCCGCCAACGCACGTAGATCCGAACTTGCAACCTTGGGCGCCTTGCAGGAAGCGCTTAGTCGTGTTCCAGCTGTTGAAACACGTTTTGAGCAGCGCCACAAAGACAAAGGGCGGTGCCATACTGCTGCTTTGAAGAATAACTCTGAACGAGGTGTCAACATCGGCTTCGCTCAAAGAAGGTAACCATTTTCTGAGTCTTGGTGCAATGATACTGGAGATGGATTTCGAATGGAAGCCGGGGGTGATCATCTGCACGGGTTGTTTCTTGACATTTTTCCTCTGGATGTCTTCTGGGAGCCTCTGAATGCACCTCGAGTCCTGGAAATCCTGATGCACTTGCCAGAAGAGGGAATACTTCAGGTACGGGGACCAACGAAAAGCGATACAAGATTCATCACCGTCAAGGGTGTCCTGAAGCTGAGCGACTAGCCGAGGAAAGAGGTCAGAACTGATGGCAACGCGAAGTCGAGCAGCAATGCTACGAATGCTGAGGTCACCTGCCTGCACCTTGAAGCCAATTTCCTTGAATCGCGCAAAAATCGCCGGCGGAAAAGAATGCCTCGGAGCACAGGTGTAAACTTGCAAGGCTTCTCTTTCTGCACGCCAAATCTGGGGGGTCGGGCGGGGGCCTTGAGACGCATGACCAGTTACCGATAGAGCATATACATTGTGAGCGGTGATGCTGCTGGTCAGGCCTAGCCCCATTTTCTTGATGGCGAGGGGCCACTGGGCAAGCTTGAAGGCGACAGGATTCCAGGAAAGGCAGGGAGCGTCCCACCCAAGGTAAAACCCAAGATATGTCCCGTGATATTGTATTTTGAATTGGTTGACACGTATCCCCATCCACTTGAATTCGGCCCTAGCGGTCTCAACACTGCCAGGTTCCAGGAGGACGATAACACACTTCTCGAGATTTCAAATAAGCCCTCCACTACTCCCACAGAGACCGATCTGACGGACAACGGCAGGGATAACAGCGTAAATATCAGAGGATGTGAGGCCAAGATCGTCGGCAAAAGCTGTGACCCTCTTCGGGGCTTCGAGGGGGAGGCGATGCAACCATCTCAGGAGCGGGTCAAGGGCAAATGCAAATAAAACACCAGAGAGAGGGCAGCCCTGCTTGACGCCCCGCAGGGCGGTGAAAGAGACAAGGTCCGAACAGCGAAAAGAAATCATACATTGCATGTTAGAATACAGTAATGTGATGGCCGTGATCATGAATGCGGGAAAGTTGCACGCCCTCAGAACCCTGAAGATCCAGGAGTGGTGCGCCGACGGGAAGCGGCGCGAAAGTCAAAGAAGCAAGCTCCAGCTCGCTTCTCCCCGCGCACAGCATACCAATGAGCAAGATTGAAATCAACCTCGAGGGCGTTATCGATGATTGGACGACCCTTGATAAACCCACGCTGAGTTTCGTGAAGGCGATCACGAGCGACTTCAGAAAGGCGATGCAATCAAACATCTAACCAGTTTGTTATCGGTGTTCGATGAAGCAATCGGTCTCGTATCTTCGACAGATTTGTAGACGTGCTCCGAGTCCCCGAAGCCCCCTTTCGGCAAGAGGGCGAGCTTGGCGGCATTGAAATCCGAGCTCATCGGGTTCCCCGCGAGGAGATGACTATACACATCATATACTGCTTCTTGTGCAACAGGCCCAGCGGCCCTCCAGGCGCTGTAGCGCAAGCCGTCGGGCCCTGGGGCTGAATCTTTTTTTCCTGTGAAGGAGGTCAAGAAATTGATCATGCGTAAGGGCCCAGGGGAACCTTTGATGGGTACTGTTGGTGTATTGGTGGGGGTCAGAGGGGAGGGAGGGGAGGTCCCGTAGAAAGTCAGCCCCAGCTCCTGGACACTGATGTCCGCGGGCAAATACTGAACTCCAGCGGTCGGCAAGCATTCTGGCACAGGTATTGGGCTCCGCAAATTCGCTGCCGTCGGCTCCGATAATCCCCTTCAAATCTACTGTGCGTTGACTGGCCCTCCAGGCGCGCGCGAGGCGTCGAATGCGGTGCAGGTGATAATCAGCAGAGTTGACTGGCAAACGATCTGATTGCAGAAGGTCGCGTTCCTGCTCTTCAAGCTCAGCCCTCATCATTTGACTCAAGTGATTACGAAAGCCTGACCAATGGGTGAACATGAAAAGCTCGGGATCATAAAACTCTTTTAGGACTGGGTGGGCTCGAAGGGCTTGCTGGATGCCGCGCTGAATTCGCCCTCTATGAGACCTAGCAAGACGGAGACAGCATGCAATCTTTTCTTGACGCGATGCAGCCACCGAACGATACATCTCTTGCTTGCATTGCTGACCCGCGGCGACCATACATGACTTGACCTCGAGAAGACGCTCTGTGGGGTCGGTGCTAAACCCTTGCCCGGTGGCAAGCTCTTCAGAGATGCTGGCGTACGACGGGCGCTTAAATGCCCAGGCCGGCAGGAACACTTCACCATTCGGCTTCCAAGGTTTGAGGGAGAGATAGACGGGCACATGGTCCGAGGGAAATCAATAATCTGCAACATTCCATTGAGTAGAGCTAAGGGGGTTGTGGTCGAGGAGGTCGGCCGTGGGAATATTCGTATAGATACGGTCAAGACGGGCATAGGAGGCAGAAGAGGTAGGAGTAGTCGTGATACGCCGATGTGTGAAGGAGTCCTGCTCGAGCTCTGCGAACACGCTAAAGATAGTCCTGAAGGCTCCTGCAAGCCTGGACGGAGAGAAACGCTCAACCCCACTAGAGGCATAGTACCTGCTTTCCCCCAGCATGAGACAGTTGAAGTCCCCAAGGATGAAGGAAGAGGAAGAGGCAGAAGAGGGAAGGGCACGACGAATAGAGCCAAACTGGGCTCGAATCCTGGGTTCGGGGAGGTCAGGAGCAATGCGAACATTGACTATGCTTAGGGCCCCCTGGGGTCCTGAGAGCTGGAGAAGAGCAACACGGCCAGGCACAAGTTCACGAAATACATATTGACTGAATTGCCGCTGCAGCCGCAGGGAGATAAAGATGAGAAGGCCTCCAGCATTCGTCGATGGCCCGAACGAGCCGAATATGGTGTGCTGCTCGAAGTCGCGCTTGAGGAGAAGGGGGTCACCCTCGGTACCATGAGTCTCTTGTACTGCTACAATGTCGTTGTGTTGTAGAAGAGATTGAAGGATGCGAAATATATGTCGCATGCGATGTTGGTTAGACTAAGCAGAACCAATAAGAGCTTGAGAGTTACAACTGGTGATCTTGAAGAGGTCTTTCGGGAAGTAGGGCTGGGGGGAGTAGGACTGAAAGCTAGACGCCCCCCCCTCTTCATTCGGCGGCCAGGCGGGGGAGGGGGGGCCGGGGGAAGGAGAAGGGGCGGGAGCCCGCAGAGGCTCGCCATATTCACTAAAAGCCTCAGGGATCTGCAGCGGCAGCGGAGGCGCGGCAGCATCATGCGGGGAGGGGAGCAACGCCCCGCGCGCTCCTCATCCACTAGAAAGACGTCGAAATCAATTCCCTCTAGGGAGCCGCTCCTGGCTGGAGCGTCGGCCTGCAAAAAAAACCTTCACAGGTCCGAGCGCCTCCTGGATCTGGTCGGGCGTGATGCCCCAGGTCGACAGCGAGGCCTGGTTCGGTTCGAAAGTGAACTGGTCGCCTGAGCCCTGCTTCACCGACACGAGCTCGAAGACGTCGGAGTCGGAGATAACCTGCAACACGCCCTTGCGCCCGTTGACCCCGAGCTTGCACGAGGCATCCCACAGCGGGCTCTTCATCGCGAGTTGCTTGACCGCGACGAAGACGCTGGAGAAGGCCCGCTTCTTCTGACGGACGTGAAGTGGAAGATCTCCCCGAATTCGAAGAGGATGAATACTTTGATCACGGAATCTTGCCAGGAAATACCCACCATGTTCGCCTTCCGCTGGAACACCATGGCTGAGCCCTCAGCCTTGAACTTCAGCTTGTACACCTGCGAAATGCCATGGAGCTGCCCCTCCACGGCGTTCTCGTCGCCCAATTCTTCAGGGAACCTGGCCTTCATCTGTTCAAGTGCG